TTAGTGAGGTTGAACATTTTTTCATATGCCTGTTGGCCATCTGTATGTCCTCTTTAGAGAAATGCCTCTTCATATCCTCTGCTCATTTTTTATTTGGGTTGTTTGTTTTTTTGGTGTTGAGTTGAATGAGTGTTTTATAAATTTTGGATATCAACCCTTTATCAGATATATCATTGGCAAATATCTTCTCCCATTCAGTAGGCTGCCTTGAAAAGGTAATTTTTAATCAATGTTTTAACACACGAGGTGAGCTTATCAGCCTTCAATAGAATAGGTTTGTGGGATTTTAAAAACTCCCCTTAAAATGGAGAAATGATTTGAAGAAGTATTCAACACTCTCTATCTCAACTTCTGTAGCATATATTCCGCAGAAAGGGGAACCTAGAAAGGACATGAAGACCTCACTGAATATTTAAACAGTAGGTTCAAGCCTGGGGAGTCGCATCAGCAAGAAGAAAGGTAGATGAAATAACGGCAGTGTCACCAATTTTTTGCCTCTCTCCCTGAAGACAACATTGCTGACAGCGTCACTCTGGCCTGCCCAAGGCTATCTGATATGAAGATACAACCCCAAGGTAAGATTTCCTACTGCTATCACCTGAATAGACTCTGGGCTTACTGCAGAAGAGCTTCCCGAGGTTCTCATGCTTCCCCCCACAGGAATACAGTGTCCCCAAGGAGAGGGGGTCTTCCTGAAAGCCATTTGTGCCAAAGGTATCACAATAACAAGGCCTCAAAATAATTGTCAGTCAGAGAGCTTCTGCCTCAATAGATGGACATTTCGATTTTTTTCAGAAATTCCTGATGGTACTCTAGAATTCAATAGAGAGGCTTTGGGAAGGAAAGAAATGTGGCCTGCAGCATTAAAAGGGAAAACTGAGGCTTTTGCTAGCCTGAATATAGCAAATTGAGTAAAGTAATAGGTAAATAGTTACTGAGTGCTTAGTATGTGCCATGACTTACACACATTATCTCATTTAGCCCTCATAAAAACTCATTGTGATTTAGAAGGTGAAAGCCGCTCAGAGTTAAGAGGCCAAGGTCACAGAGCTGGTTAATGGTAGAAGTAGGATCGAAAGCCAGTTCTGTGGGATGCCAGAGCTCAAGCCCTGTCTTACTACTTTATACTCAAGTGCTTTAAAACCATTTTAAAAGATGTTTAAGGATGAAGAAATCTCCTGGGTATGTGCAATAAGTCAAAGTTCCTAGGAAACTTTATATAATATTCAGAACTACTACCAATGTTGATTTTGCTCAAGTCGTACACTACTTTCAGATGCCCTTTCTGAGTTTGGCCACATTTTTTTTTAAATCTTCCCTATAATTCAGGTACCTAGTTTCTCCTATGCACATACACAAAGAAACACACACACACACACACACACCAGACATACAAACACCACCCAGACATACTACACAGATAAATAAATATACATGACCACAGACACCACACACCATACACACAGAGACCACACACACACAAATACACCACAGATGCACAGATCTTGTACACACACAGCTCAACACACACACCATGGATTCAAAACACACTACAGAGACCATAGAGCCACATACATATACTCAAACACACTGAAGATATACGAACAGACCACAGACACACACACACACACACACACACACACACAGAGGCTATACACACAGTATCAGAAATTCTCCATGGGATTTTGTTTCTTCTTGTCTGCTATATACCCTAATACCTATCCGATTTCCATCACATTCATCATCTTATTCACATCTCATCTCCTGCTGCTGGTTTCTTCTCTCCATCCCACTCTATTCCAAATAGGAAACACAAGTGATTTTCCTTCAACTCCCAAGAGCAACTACCAACACAAGACAGTTGCCATTAATAAGAAGGAACATTACACCATGTCAAAGCATAGCAAGTGGATGAAAATTGAATGTTAGATATTCCCCCTTTTAAATCCCCTGTGTCATTTCTGCTTATCAAAATATCTTCTTGATGCTTTCTGCTCTTCAAGCATCCTAACCTTCTGCCATGTTTTTCCGGTGCCCCCTTCTCTAAAGACCATCATCATTCCTCCTCCTTCTTCTCATGGTCCCAGGACCTTCAAAAAGCCTCTTTCTCAGGTTCCCACTCTTTCACTCACCATTGTCTATTCATTCCATGTCCTCAGACTTCCCTTTTTATTCCCAAAGAAGACTACTAAGGTATTTTCCTGAAAAGAACCATTTTTTTTTTTACTTTGGAAAAAAACTTTGCAACTCCCTTAGAAGGAAAAACTAACTTAAAGCAGTTGTGATTTTAATAGCAATTGCTTTATTTCTTCTCTCTCTCTCTCTCTATATATATATATATATATTGTTAGAATGTTTTTGCTTAGTGAAAGAAAAACACATCATTAGTAATTTCCATTGCTTTATCCAAGTTACCAAAAAAAATTTGTTGATATGACTCTGTTATAATAGCTATGTTCCAAAAAATTCTCAGGTTTATATTCTCAATACTATAGGAACCATTATCCGACAAATGGGATATTTTGGATAATGAAATACTCTGATTCATGGAGCATGATTAAAACACTACACATGAATTACCAATTTTCAAAGAAGTAGCATAAAATACTGGTAGGGTTCCCCACCTGCCTCAATGGCGGTATGGTGGGAAGTGATGATGAATGAGAATTTTAACCCTTGTAAACCTCACTTTCTCCTCTGTTGAAATATTTGCCTTTGTGAGAAAAGAAATGATTTTCATATAAAGCTCCTGGCATATAACAAGTTTTGGATAAATATAATTTCTTTGACTTCTCTCCCTCTTTCCCTTCCCCAAGTAAGAAAGTACTGCCATACTCTACAATACTCACTTGTCTCTCATTGATTCTGAAGGCACTTCACAATCTTATGGGGCTGTAGGGCCCCCATATGAATATCAGTTCTTGCTGTTAGGTGCTGAGTGTTAGAATACTAGGTAACAGCATTTGCTATATATAATTAACTCATGGAAGAAATCTAATTATAGCTCCCCATGATTACTAATTTGCAGTAGCTGTTGTTACCTTTGGTATTCAATTTCATTAGCAATGTTTGCCCTGACCAAGTCTTAGTCAAGTAAAACTGATTCTGCATTGCCTTACTCAAGAAGTTGTGCTCATCAAGAAGGGTGAGACTTCTGATTAACGTCTAAATAGAAGATTTTTAACTGCCTAAATTGATTACTTAACAAAGCCAAAATATCTATTTCACATTTATTTCATTTGTAGTATTTCCTTTATTGGTGCTCAAATTAATCTGATCTTAATTCCTCATACAAAATAAAAATATAGACCTTAGGGAAAATACCTGATTTGCGTTATTATAGAAATATCATGTTTTGCCATATTGTCATTTTGACTGTCACTATGCAAAAATTCGTATTTTAATTTCTATGTTTAACCTTTTCTTTTTCTTCTTTTTTTGTTGTCATTTTTAGTTTCTCATTCCACAAGTAATTATGGATCTGATCAACTCAACTGATTACCTGCTCAATGTCTCTACCTTAGTAAGAAACAGCACTCACTTCCCAGCTTCTGCCTCAAAAATGATCATTGTCCTTTTTCTGTTCACGTCATTTATAATTGGTACTATCACCAATGGTCTCTACCTATGGGTGCTAAAATTCAAGATGAAAAAGACTGTCAACACTCTTTTATTTTTTCATCTCATTCTCTCATATTTTATTTCAACTTTGGTCGTGCCATTTATAGCCACCTCCTTCCTTCAGAACAATCACTGGAGCTTTGGAACTATCACATGTAAGGTCTTCAACAGCATTTTGTCTACAGGAATGTTTGCCTCTATTTTTTTCCTCTCAGCCATCAGTGTTGATCGTTATCTTCTCACCCTTCACCCGGTGTGGTCACAGCTTCACCGAACCCCACGCTGGGCTTCCCACATCATCCTGGGAGTCTGGGTCTCTGCCACTGTCCTCGGCATACCCTATCTAGTTTTCAGGGAGACACACGATGACCATAAAGGAACGGTGACCTGCCAAAATAACTATGCTGTGTCTACTAACTGGGAAAGCAAGAAAATGCAAACATTGAAGAAATGGATTCATGTAGCCTGTTTCATCAGCCGCTTTTTGCTGGGCTTCTTTCTGCCTTTCTCTGTTATCACCTTTTGTTATGGAAGAGTAGCCAACAAGATGAAAGAGAGGGGTTTATCTAAATCCAACAAGCCCTTCAAAGTCATGATGACTGCCGTTATCTCTTTTTTTCTGTGTTGGATGCCCTACCATGTATACCAGGGTTTAGTTCTCACTAAGAACCCACCACTACTTTTACAGTTGGCTATGATGCTTACAGTGATAACTACTTCTTTCAATACTGTCTTTTCTCCCACACTCTACCTATTTATTGGGGAGAACTTCAAAAAGGTTTTCAGGAAGTCCATTCTCGCTCTTTTTGAGTCAACATTCAGTGAAGATTTTCTGCACAAAGGAGAGAAAACCGAAACTCAGAATTCTACATTTAAATTTAGAGTCCCAGAACAAGCATGAACTCTTAGTTAGTTACATCACCAGATATATACCCTCCGCTTTTGTATAACATAGTCCCTATATTAGAGAGATATCTAGGCTGTACTACAGTTAGCTCTATGAATGTTCTTAAAAGGGCTGTAAGACAGTAAGCAATAAGTGATGTTACAAATGTAATTTTCCCCCTTTTTTATTGTGGTAAAATATATACAGTTGACCGTCTCAAACAACACAATTTGGACTGTGCAGGTCCACTTACAGGCAGGTTTTTTTTCAATATATACATACAGCACTGTTAATGTACTTTCTCTTATGGTTTTCTCAGTAACATTTTCTTTTCTCTAGCTTACTCTAGTGTAAAAATACAGTATATAATACATATAACATTCAAATATGTGTTAATCGACTATGTTATGGTAAGTCTTTAGGTCAACAATAGGCTATTAGTAGTTAAGTTTTTTGGAAAGTCAAAAGCTATACATGGATTTTTGACTGTGCGAGGCTCAGTTATCTAACTCCCTTTGTTGTCCAAGAGTCAACTGTATAACAAAATTTGCCATTTTCACCATTTTTAAGTGTAAATTTCAGTGGCATTAACTACCTTCACAATGTTTGTAACCATCATCACTATCTATTTCCAGAATTTTTTATCACCCCAAAGAGAAAATCTGTACCCATTAAGCAATAACTCTTCATTCCCCACCTCCTCCAGCCCCTCACATAACCTCCAATCTACTTTCTGTCTCTATGAATTTGCCTACTCCAGATATTCCACATAAGTGAAATCCTATAATATTTCTCCTTTTGTGTCTAGCTTATTTTACTTAATGTTTTTAAGGTTCATCCGTGTCATTAACATGTATCAGAACTTCATTCTTTTTTATGGCTAAGTAATATTTCATTGTATGTACAAGTATATACCATGTTTTGTTTAACCAGTCTTCTCTGGAGGAATATTTGAGTTTTTTCCACCTTTTACCTATTGTGAATAATGCGACTGTGAACACTGGTGTACAAGTATCTGTTTAAGTCCTTGTTTTCAATTATTTTGAATTATTTTTAATTGCTGGGTCATATGCTAATCCTGTTTAACTTTTCCACAGCAGCTATACAATGTTACATTCCTACAAGCAATGTACAAAAGTTCCAATTTCTCCACTTACTATTTTTTATATTATATTTGATTACTTTATTATTATTAGTCTGCACTTATTATTTTCCTGTTTTAATATAAAGCCATCCCAGTCAGTGGGAAGTGGTGCAAATGTAATTTTTAACCTCTGACTTTTATTTCTACAAGAATATAAATTTCTATAAATACCAATAGTATCCATTGATCTGAATCCTCTGTCACAGAATCTTCTACAAATAGACATTTGGACACTGATCCTTCTTTATTTAGATAGCACCTAAGTTATTTAATTGATATGAGCAAAATTTAACATGGAAATGACAAGGCACTCACCCTGTCATATCCATGTTAAAGTATAAAAATATTTATACTTTAATATTTTAGTATAAAGAAATCTTAAATATCTCTTTTCAATACTTAGAGATAAAGCTATCTCAGAAATATGGGAGTAAGACAATTAATTATAAATGTTAAAAAAATCTGCCTGGGTAATGCCATAGTATGTTTAATTTTAGAATAGCAATAACAATATCAATTTGTCTTCCCTGGTTTTCAAGTTTTGCTTCAACTTTTTGCAATATGTTACAGCACCTGAGTTATGTAAGACCATGTACTATCACTGACCTGTTACCTTTAGTTATATCTATTGATCAATAGATAGCAATAGATAAGATAGTTCGATTGATACAAAATGGAGATATTTAGGCCATAATGCACACTCAGTCCCTAAATATTTTAGCTAGCTTTGCACAAACTATTCCAAACCACAGCTATATATCCTATTCAGAAATCCCCAAAATGAATGATATTAATTACAAGGACTTACAGAAAGGAAGGGAAATGAGCCTTCATTACTACCATTTTATAAGAGGAAAGTAATAGTAATTTGATGCCCTAGAAATCCTGCTAATTGACTTGGTGTCACTGCTTCCCTGGGCAACGGGGGCTTGCTCTCTCTCACTTTGAATATGAGGGACAAAAAGCTTTGGGTAGATGAAAACTTTCATTGGTGGCCTCTATTTCAAGCTTTTGGAGCCTGAATAGTTTCCCAAAGATGGAGGAGTAGGACCAATGGTCAGGCTGTGGCTCTGAGTGTCGCTGCAGCAAGAAGAGCTGGTGCTTCTTCAATCCCCACACTCTCCCAGGTCCTGACAAGCCCACCAAAGTTTATGATGTAGGACTTAAGAAAGTTATTGAATGGAATTTAGAATTTAAAAATATATATTTTATTGGGGAATTGGGGAAGGGGAACAGTGTTGGGGAATTGGGGAAGGGGACACCCAGGTTGTTGGGCTTCAATCTTAGTTGTGGAGGATGCAGCTAGCTCAGCTCCAAGTCCAGTTGCCATCCTGCCACCTGTTGGCAGCTCAGCTCGGGCGCAGTTCACTGGCCCATGTGGGAATCGAACCGGTGATCCTGTTGCTCAGAGCTCGCGCTCTTAACTAACTGAGCCACTCGGCCAGCTCTGGAATTTAGAATTTTTTGAAACAAGAATAGTGGTCTGGAAACCTAGCTGCTACCAAGAGAGCCTTTTGTCTCCCTCAGACCTGCTACAGTAACAAACAGGGATGTGCTCTTTCTGGGCTCTCTTATGTGTGTTGTTCCATCTCTTCATAGATCATAACCTCCTCAAGAACAGAAAGAAGCTTAGCAATCACACTATTTCTTTTCTAAAATATGATATGCATTTGATATCCAGTACAAGATATTTAATAAAAATTGAATATGGGTAATCACAATATGTGACTTGAAAAACAACTTTAGGAGTAAAATAATAGGATGGGACAAGATTTTTATTTAACAAAGATTTACATCACTCATACCTTGTGCTCGGGCATTCTAAGTGCTTTACAAATAGTAATTCAATTTACTCTAAAACATACACAAACACACACACACACACACATCAATAGTAACTCACTTAATCCTACAGCAATTCTACAAAGTAGGTCATATTATTATCCCTATTTTACAGACTACGAAACTGAAGCACTTACTCAAGGCCATAAAGTGAACAATTAGAAGAGACAGAGTTGGGCCGGCCGAGTGGCGCGATGGTTAAGAACTGGCTTGGGACGCTAGAGGGCCCCGGTTCGGATCCCACATATGAGGGCCAGTGACACTGCCCTCTACAGCTAAGATGCTGAACTACAGCTCAACCTGGAGCTGGGCTGCTGCGAGTCGCTGGCGATGGCATAGGCTGTAGCCCCTGCTGCAGTGGGTTGCCATGGGCTACCGTATATAGCCAGCATGAGCGGCCAGCAGCCGCAGTGAGCAGCCGTCCAGAAGCCGGCGACTGATCTGCCTCGCCCGGGAAGAGCGCAATGATGGTGCCAACTTGGGCCAGTGAAGCAACGTCCTCCACAACTAGACTGAAGAACAAAAAAAACGACAGCAACTTGTCTGTTCCCCTTCCCCCAATTCCCCAGCACTGTTCCCATCCCCCAATTCCCCAATAAAAATCTTTAAAAAAAAAAAAGAAGAGACAGAGTTACAAGTCCAGGCAATCTGGTGCTAGAATCCATGCTCTCAACGACTACACTCACTGCATGAGGTCACTGCTAGGAAGCAGTGAGGCTGGGCTTTTAGCCCAGATCCACAGAGTCTGTTCATTTCATCAGGTCACCTTCCTGGCTGCAACAATCAAACAGAAGTGCCTAGAAAAATGTCAGGATTCACATAAAAAGTGGGGAGGTGGGGGCGGGGGAAGCATTGAACTTGTAATCAGGAGATTTGGGTGGTGGTCTGGCTTTGCCTCTAGCTTGACGTTTTATTTGGGACATGTTATTCATATTTTCTAGGCCTCATCTTCCTCATCTATAATATGGCGACTTCTCCAAATGAGATTATGGATATGATATCACTTCTAAAATATGGATATGAGATCACTTCTAAAATATAAATTATATAAATATATATGGAAAATTTTCTTTTAAGATGTCACTTTAAATTTTAAGAAAATAGGGTGTAAACTTAAAAAACCCTCCCAAAATGTATTTTCTTAAGTTCCCACAAAGCTATGCTTAACTTCTAGAAAAATTTACTTGTTATAGTTGTGTCTGTCTCATCAACCGCCTCATTATTGTGAATTCTCAGGACCCAAGAGGTTTATAAACAAAGAATTAGTGGCTCTGCTTTGTGGAACTGGTGTGTGGAGACAGTGTTTCTAAACAATATGCCTATTAGCATCCAATTATATAAACCTGCTTCAGTACATCAGTATCAAACTGGTTCAAGGACAGAATGATTAGAGATACTCATATGTTTCAAATGCCAGTCAAGTTCTTACCCAAGAAATAGCTCTGTGTTTTAATGAGATGAATGGGCTGTCCAGCTGCTAACACATGTGAGGGGGTTTGGGGTATCAGGTAGGATGGTGTGCACAACACAAATCTGATTCCATATCCCTGAGACACTAGAGGGAACAATTATTTACTAGTATAGTTTAAGTATCTGGCACTGTGGTGGACTCTAAGAATACAATAGTGTCTAAGACACAATACCTGTCCCCAAGGAGCTTAAAGTCTAGTGTGGTAGTTCTGAATTTGGCTTCACATTATAATCACCTGGGATATTTTTTTTTAATACCAGTGTCTAGGCCTTACCAAACCAATTAAACCCCAAATCCCTAAAGGCAGGACCCAGGAATTTTTTTTTAAGTCGTCATGTTGACTCTAAAGTATAACCAGAGTAGAACACCCCTGTTCAGTGGGAAAGAAAAATGAGTAAAAACATCATACAGTACAAAGGAGTAAGTGCGATGTTTGCAGTTAACAAACAAAAGTCTCCAACCCAGCTGTCACCAGTCATAGAAACTTTCTTGGACGAGTCCTGCAGAACAGTGTGCAATGTATAAAGACAGGG